CCCGCGGCTTGTTTGCGGTCGAACTTCGACACGAACGAGTGACTAACGTTTAGCTTATCGATGGTAGCAACCAATAAACGATATTCACCGCGGTCTGAAGGACAGCATACCATACACATATATATATATATATATATATATATACCGCGAATCAAAATCCTTTTGTGCTAGGACCACTTTGTGGGAATGTTAATGTTATGGAAGTTTTCAGAATGTTTAATAATATTAGTAAATATTTTGGAATAGCAGTATCCCGAAATGCAAATTCAGAATGTCAATGCCAATTCTATTCTAAAATGGAGAATGACATATTCGGGATATCGCCCGAAAGACAAAAGTTGTACTAGTTTTCACGTACTTTTACTGAGTCAGGCACGAATAAACCGTCGTAGAGTGGCTCGAGCATATCGAGCCCAGCCTTTGTGCAGTGACAAGGAAGTCGGTAATGCCTCGATGTTCAAAACAGGCGAACAGTTCTGTCATGTCTCGTGATTACTGTACGCCATCCAACGTGCGTCATCACTTTCATGAGTCAAGTACCGATAGCCAACTTTCTGCTCCAATTTTCTCAAGTCACACCACGTTTGATAATCCTTAGAAAAAAGAATTTTTTTAATAATAATCATGCAATCAATAAAACAAAGATAATCAATTGAGGTATAAAAATAATGCTTACTTGTAACCACACGTGTTGCAAGCTTCTATCTACGGTATATCTCTTTCTCTGCTTAACTTGCAGAAGGTTATTGATTAAATCAATAGCTAAAAGACAAAGAAATAATATGAAAAGAATGTATAGATTTATATTATTGAGAAAAAAAAAATGTGATTTTTTACATTCTAATTATATCACAAAAGTAATTTGCAGAGAAATAATAGAAGTGTTAATCACCATCGCTTGAAATTTCCTTCCACGGGGTTGGCGGATACATAAAGGCAGCATTCTGAATTTGTTCATTAATGTCCTCTTCTTCATTAAAGGGGAAAGTGCCGCTTAATGACACGTATATAATTACGCCAACGCTCCACATATCTAAGGATCGATTATAACCTTTATTTCGCAAAACTTCCGGTGCTAGATACGCCGGCGTGCCGACGACACTTCTTCGAAAGCTTTTCTCGCCAATTATTCGCGCGAATCCAAAGTCGCATAATTTCACCTGGGTGAAGTCCGTGTCGCTGCTCAGTAATACGTTCTCCGGCTTAAGATCGCAGTGCACGATGTTCTTGCTGTGAAGATGTTTCAATGCAACTAGAATTTGCGTCACGAGGAATTTGGTTATTCGTTCGCTGAGTCGTCCTTTTTCGGAGCTCAAAATCATTTCCAACATATCGCCCTTCAACTTTTCCATCACTACGAATATTCGCTCTGTTGTTTCAAACATACGTTCCAAATTCACCACTCCACTATGCGACAGATTTTGCAAGATCGCTACTTCATTTTTCAATTGGGCTTCTTGCTTGGTGGGAAAACGTAATTTATCAATGACTTTTATGGCTACTGCGCGGCCGCTCTTGCGATGAACACCTCCGTAAACTATGCCGAATTGTCCGGATCCTAAAACTTCATCTGGGAAGATCTGATATAGTTGTGACATATCAGTAACATTTTCCTCAGGTTCAGTAATTTCAGGTTCTTCTTGATCTAGAACATACAAACATATTCATTTAAATAATTTGTTTCAACATACATAATGCTTTCTGTATTATTTATCTCTAAAAAACAAAAACGATATCTTAATACAAAGTACTGTATTAAATAATTTAAAAAATGTAAAATATAAACTAATAAAAGGCGTAACAAATGTCTCGTGTTATTATTTTGCAGTGTCACGATAGCAAACTAAATATACATACTAGTCGATACAGTTACAGGCATAAGTGCTTGTCTAATAGTAGTTTCCCACGATCTAGCTATGTGAGCTCCGATACCACTTTCGGGAGGAGAGACTTGGCTGCAATTATCTCCGTATGATGGATCCTCCCCGACATAGTAATCGGCATTGGCAGTTTTTAGCTCAAAGCAATGCATTATATCTACAATATAAAGTACGCAAAGTGTGTAAAAAAGTTTAACTCAGAAAAACTTGGATCTGACACATAAAATCTTAAAAAAGAGGAAAAAAAATGCATTTAAAACTGATAATAACTAATATTAGAAATAACTTCTAATTCGTTACAAACAAGAACGCACATGAACAAGGTGTTTTAGCAGTTTCAATTGCTGAAATTTCAGCTAATGGTATCTCCTTGTAATATTTAGAACCATTCTCGCTTTGGAATAATGTTATAGCTTTTGTGTCAAGCCGCCAATAATGTTTTTTTTTCTGAAAAGATTGAAATATGATAAATAATTTCATTTAAATCTATACATTTATATTCACAGTAATAACTTAAATAATTAATAACTTAAATAATAGCAGAAAATATTAAAATACTTATATAATTTTCAGTATTTCTATGAATACTCACGACTGGATCGCGATTTGTGAAATGTACCATCCAACCTTCTTTTAATACCTTAGACCCACGTTTCTTAGTATGTTTCACACTTTGTACTATTCGCATTAATGGAATGTTGTTACTTGGTGTAGAATTACAGCTTTTTTAATAAAAAAAAAGAAAGCATTATATTAGAAAAATGACAAATATAAATTTTAAATAAATGAAAATAAAATTGTTATAGAAATTTTATAGAAACTTACCTCGATCGTCGTGATTTTTGACTATCATCATAAGCAATGTCATCGTTATATCGTGCATGATCCTGTAATTATATAATTTCAATGTTGTAAAACTTTTTCTAAAAATTACATCTTCATTTTCCGCAATTCCAAAACCATTCATTGGAAAGAGAAATAACTTACTGGATAATAATTGGGTATCTTATTTTCATTATTTATGAACGATGTATCTTGTGTTGGAGGCGATGATTCTGTGTCACTGTCAGCATCAGCTTCCTCATTTCTAATATCACATTTGGTTTCTAGTTCACTGCCAACACCGCTATCTGTGTATTCGCCTAGGGAAGCATTTTTAATTTATTACATCTATATACAAACAAAAAACAAATTGTCTATACACAAAGT